CAATCTTTGGAGTATGTTTAGAGAAGCAACAAAGGGATCGCTCTGAAACTTGACAGGCGCCTTAGTGAAGATATGGTTCGACAGCTAAGCAACGCAGCTTACTATGGGATTCTTGCACTCAGAGAAAATGGCCAGAAACGGACATCCATTCCCAGGTAATTCAACATTTATCAGGAACCGTTTGTGAAGTCCTCCAAAGAAATTCTGCGACAGGGGCACCTTATCCAATACCTCGACTAGGGTGTCCGCGTATCACACCAAGAAGACAGGATCGCCTTCTCCTCAAAGGACGCCGTGCTGGTCGTACAAAGACAACCAGTGTCCTCAGAAAAGAGAGGAGAAAGTCATACAAACGCCCGTTTCAAGGTCCCTCGTGAACAAGAGATTACTGCAAGCCGGTTATTTTGCACGAAGGCCAGTAGGGAAACCACTGTTAACATATACAGCGACGTCTGCAATGGGCTGGGGACCACGTGCGTTTGCAGCCAAAACACTGGAATCACGTCGTTTTCAGTGATGAGGCCAGATATGGATTTTTTAGGGTTGATCGTCGAATCTGTGTCCACCGACGTGTACGAGGGGAATAAAACGATGATTGTGTACTGCCTAGGGTGCAAGCGGGGGATGGTAACGTCTCTGTTTGGGGAGCATTTCATGTCGGTGCCCAGAACCAGTTGGTTTTTCTAGGAGGCAACCTCATCCAGGATTCCTACAGAGACATTCTACAGCAAACAATGCTTCGATTGGTAAGAGTCATCTTCAGGAACAACTTTGTGTACCAAGACGACTGCGCAACCCCACATCGAGGCCGCAGAATCACTGTTTTTCTTCAAAACCAATGGGTTCAGCAACTGCCCTGGCCTGCAAACTCTCCAGATAAGAACCCAATTGAAAATCTGTTGGCGGCAGTATTTCACAGAATTAATAGCTATGGTCCTAGGCCGGTAAATTGTGATGAACTGCGACAGGCAAATATCACTGCGTGGAATGATATCTCTACCCAAACTCTAAAAAACGTGTCACAGGGTATGCCAGGTAGGATGAGGGCGCTGCAAGCGGCTGCTGGAGGTCATACCCGCAATTACTGACTTTTCATATTTAATTGTAGTGAGATCTTTGATTGTGTAAGATATCACTGTCCGGAGGCTATCATTTTCTTTAATATCTTATCTTAAAGTTTATAATGACATCAAACTGTTGATATGGTTTTCTGGGGGTGTTCCTTTCCTTTGAATGGCATCTTATGTCAGATTTGATATTATTGACCAAAATATCTCACAACAGAAGACTGGATGTTATTATCACTCAGTTACATACATTTTTAATGACTCAAGCCCAAACAATTTTAATCAGCACTCAAAAATAACAATGATAAAAAATATTCCATATTAAGTAGCAACCCTGTAAATCTGTGTTAGAAGGTTCTGTAACCGTCTGTTGACATTACAGAAAAAACATCTTCTTCACATTCTTGATCCGCCAGTGTTTCAGTAAATATCTAATTGCAAACAATATGCATTGATGTTCAGGCTGTTTATATGTCGGCCTATATCATACATATGCATGACATTATTAAACTCCCATACACCATGCAGCTGTGATAAAGTAAAATAAATTTTTAATTTTGTTTCCATACAGAGAAAAGATCAGAGGTTGATCGGTATCGTTGTGATAGGACATCACGGGGAATATATACACTAAACATGCCGTACTGTCAAAAAAGGAAACTATTTCTTTTCACAGTGACTGTAGGCCTAGCATTCCTGGTTTTAAACTCTTGGTACGAACATGTCATGCTCATTGCAAAAAGGGATTCGTTTTCGCTGGGTTGCAAACCAAGTTTTGACTTGCAAAGAAGCCATTTGTTGACTGATCAATCGGCAGCGGAGACTATAACGGCCAATAAGAACTTTATTGCGGACATGCAAAGGCGCCAGTATCAGATACTTAAAAAGTACCTAACTGGGTTCAAACGAGCTCTCCTTGTGAATCTCTTTGACACTCAAAATATTGGAGACCATTTTATACTATGGGGCGAGCGACATATCTTATCCTGGTTCAACATTAGTACCATAGACATATGTTTACGGTCGAGGCGATGCGACTTCAATCATGTTAGACGAGGAAAAGAACTAATTATTTTCATTCAAGGGGGTGGATATCTTGCCGCTACGGGAAGACACCTCAATTATATAAAATATGTTTTTCGAGCTTTCCCCGATAACCGGATTCTCATGTTTCCCGCGAGCTCTTGCGTAGAAGCACCAAACATTTGTAACAGTATGCAGGAATGGGCTGCACTGTTTGATGCACATCCAGATTCAGTGATGACAGTGCGGGATAAACAGACTTTCACCTTGGCAAAAAAATATTTCCGAAACACGCCCATTGAGCTTGTCCCAGACGCCGCGTTTGCTGTCGGGTACCAAGACTTCAGCAGCTACCTTCCGTCGTACGATATCATCTGTTTGAAAAGAAAAGATTGGGAAACAGCAAGTGGGCTGAAATCTCTCCACTCTTTTATTAGCAAAACAAGGACCCTTATTGACGATTGGCCAAAGATGGTTGGCGGTAACAGCCGTTCGACTAATTTTAGCGCACAAGCTTTCCTGGATGAATCTTTGGACAGATGCATTTTGGGACTGGTCTTCCTGTCACGTGGGCGGGTCGTAATAACGGATCGGCTGCACGGGCATATAATGAGTATTCTGCTGGGTAAACCTTCTGTGTTGCTAAATAGCAAAACGAAGAAACAAGTTTATTTTTTTGAAACATGGGAAAGGGGCTCTAACCTAAACTCCGTTTATCTTGCACAAGACACCAATGGAGCGGCGGAAATGGCCAAGTTTTACTTACGTACAAAATAATCTTTATATAACATGTCCAAGTGATGCAGATTTGTGAGCATGTTTTTTTTTTCTTCTAATGAAAAAACACAGATCAAGCAATTGTGACAACGCGCATTGGGGAGGATGCCACTCTTCCTGTTAAAATTGATTTTATTTAAAGACGCGTTTAAAACGAGTTGACATGTCAACTTTCTGCACTAAATCTGACCAATGCCGCCATACACTCGACAGTTTCAAACAATGTAACTTAAAGAATACCTGAGGAGACAGGATTTTGCCGGACGTGACGTGTAGTGGTGTAAGACGTGAAGCTGAGTGGTCATTTTTAGCTGGAGGTGAACGGGAGTGAAGATGTGGGCTCAGAGAAAATATTCCATTTAAAAAATAGTCTAAGGCTGAATCCAACAACTTATTATAATAATGTACGCAGCTAAAACAAAAAATAAATCAGAAATTGATTTCTGTCACGAGCTGTTAAAATGAAGACGTTTATTAGAAATGAGTTTAAAGGAATATGATTCGCCTTTGGAAATTCTCCAAAGTCACGTTTCTGTCGAAATATATTGCAAAGCTAGCTAGCTTCTCTTGTTTATAACTTTAAAACAATTATTAAAACTGCTTAAATTGAGGAAGATAATATCGATGCTTCATTTTTTAAATGGCGCTCTAAAATATATATTTTTTTAATTAGAAATGGGTCGAGATTATTTTTGAGTAGGAAGAAAAATAAGATTTGGCGGGAAAATCATATATAGGAAACCTTTAAGGTATAAAGACATTAAATTGCAAATAAGTTATTAAGAGTTTGTTTAAGAGTTTGTTAGAACCTGAAAAATATTTATTTGATGTAAATATTAAGTAAATACAGAGTAGCATTTTCAAGATTCAGGGCTTCAAATCATAGACTTGCAATAGAAACTGGTAGACATGAAAATTTACAAAAAATAGATAGGTTGTGTAAATATTGCTTAGACAAATATATTTATGAAATTGAAGATGAGAAGCATTTTTACTAGTTTGTCCACATTATGAGGAATTGAGAGCTCGGTACATTCCTAATTTGAATACTAACAATACATCTTCAAATTGTTATATTGCTATGATGAAAATAAAAAAAATCCTGATGCTCTAAACAACTTGCTAGATTTATTTATCATGGTTTGATTGCTAGAGAAAACTGATGTGAAATGTCGAACTATAACCTTGTGATGTATTTGCTATGGGCCGGTGGCCTTTATCAATTGGATAAAGTTGGGTCGAGATTATTTTTGAGTAGGAAGAATCATATATAGGATACCTTTAAGGTATGAAGACATTAAATTACAAATAAGTTATCAAAATTATGACCTACAATTCAAATTTGAATGTGCTAATGGCATAAAACGTCTTAAAATATCTTAATCCCTTCGCAAATTAACATTCCGTATACTGTAGTGGCGGCATCAATGTTAAAAGGTTTTACAGTCTTTAATCAATATGATATCAATTTTTTTTTTTTTTTGGATCCAGATTAAAAGTGTAAAAAATGGGACAAGAAAATAAGGAAGAATTACAATGTTTTTTTCGTCATTACTTAACTCTTAATCTAATACACAAACAGAGACGACCTGGAATATTGACATGATGGCCTTTCACTCCTCTTAGTCCGGCTAGTGTGTCGAACGTATCCCCAGTATCATTAGAAGATAAGATAGGTTTATCGTAATCGCACGCCATGTACAGACAGCACTACTCCACCAAACGCATACCAGCATAGCTAATACATTATAAACGACATGTAAGAGCAAAATAAAAAAGACCTTTCAGTTAGTGACTTATTCACCATACTGTTGATATAACTGGCGTGTTTATTTATATTTTTTTTTCTTTAATTTTTTTTTTTAATTCTCAACATGTGTTCCTGGCTTACCTGTAATATTGATCACATACACACAACGTAGATCTACCGGGTACTGCCCTTGCCTATAACCGGGTGACAGGATAGTTCCGGACGTGTTGACAAAGTAGTTCTCACCACAAAGTGGATTCATGGTTGATACCTCCAGCACTGGCATTGTTGTTGGCACCATTGTTGTAAGTGGTGTCGTCGTTGAAGAAATTGTGGTTGGTGGCGTTGTTGGTTTGGTTGTTGTCGGCGTAGAAGTAGTAGTAGTAGTTGTTGTTGTAGTTGTAGTAGTAGTTGTAGTGGTAGTAGTTGTTGTTGTTGTCGACGTTGTGGTTGGCATCTCTGCCTTGTATTTTAACATGAACCCAGAGCTATACGAAGACTCGTCCGTTTTTAATCTTATGACTATCGGTAGGGAAGATATGGTAAATGTTTTATTCCCCGATTCAACACCGCAGTACTTCATCCCGCTGTTGTTTTTGTTGTTGTTGATGATCTCCAAGAAGTCATACGGACACGACCCGTTGTATGGCTCCAAGCTGGTGTTGACAAAAGTCAGCGAAACTGAAAGAGCTCCTGAAAGTGCGGACGGGGAATGAATCACGTCAAACCAAAAGAAAGATGAAAATAAAGTTTTAGCATAATACTAGTAAAAACATACATTTTATATGATTTTATAATTATTGACCGCCTGTATCGCAGGATATATCTAGAACATGTACATGCATCAACCTTGCTGCATACCTGGCCCCGATTCTTATCTAAAAATCTAGTTTGAAAGTTTGTTGCCGACTATTTAAAAAATTCTAAATTCATTTTTTTGAAGTACACCTCGCCGAATAGCCGTTCCTTTCTGGAAACCAAGCACAAGCCTTCGTGAGGTTCTTTTTTAAAAAACTGACCATATAATGGTAACATTAGGGCTTTTCTTTTTTCAGCAAATAAAAACCATGTCCTTTTTTCTCCCAATGTTCTGTTTTTTTACATTCTTGACAAAAATTTATGAGACAAAGCCTGCAGTTGGAAGGAGTCCTAGACCCCATTTCCTTGGATTTTAGATCGATCTATCCCTGTGGGGAGTCTCACTAGATTACTGTCAGCTTAGCCGGCTTAAGCGTCTGTCCCGCCTACTAAAAGCTGTAAGGGGGTAATTAACTGTCGTGCGCGCTCGGCTGACTGCAATTAAGCGTGAACCCCCAGGGAGTTAGGTCGATCTAAATCTTAATCTCTGGATCGATCTAAATCTCTAGGAATGCACCCCTAGATATATATCCCTAATGCAATCTTCCAATTGTGCTGTAGTCTTTTAATCAACTATATACCAAAAAAGGTCAATTTAGAAAAGACTTAACTCAAACAATTTCCTCTAAGCAATTCGGTGCCACTGCCATACATCCAGAAGGGTGGCAAAAGGGGGGCAGTATTTTAATGTATGTCTTTCCTTCCGATTTGGGAAGAGATTTAGATTATATCCATCAAGCAACGGAGAAAAGTCACCACAAAACGTTTGAAGAATAAAGTGTTTCTGAAAAGGGTACGGCTGACCCCTCCCCTCCCCTTCCCCCTCCCCCTTACAACCTGGACCAGACAACGAAGATAGAAAAAGCTTCATTTACAGGACTGGGATCGAGGCAGAGATTTGGAGACAGACTACCTACCGCTGACGTCTATGACATATGAACAGTTCAGGTTTGGGGGATACCTGCTCAAGTTATAGCAGGGGGAAGAAATTACACCTTCCTCCACTGTGTGGTTCATCTCTCCACATGGGGTCGTAACTGGACATGCTGCGCTCAATTTTGTTGTTATTACTGCTAAAACAAACAAGCGAATAGATAAATAAATAAACAAATAAATATTTCTTGTTTATAACCTTATTTGATCTTCAAAATACACATTAAATCAGACTTAATTTTAAACTTACAAAATGAACTTACAGAATGAATTTTTTCCAATAATCTTCCATATATAAAAAAAATGTGTTAATCTCTTCACGTTTCCATTAAAAAGCACTCTTAAGGTTTACAGGGACATTGAGTAGAATGGTTTTAAGTACATGCAGGTGGCAGTACGAATCATTATACTACCATACAGTTACAGGAGGAACATATTGACCAACAGTCAGTCCTTAAGGCATCTTGAGTTTATCTACATTATATTTAGTGTTGCCAGCCAATCTGTTGTATCCGAACATTCTTTCATCGCGTCCAGATAAGGTTTCACGATAAAATTAGAATGTTTTTGCCTTAAAAACATTAAAGTCATTAAAATCGAGCTGAGAAAAAGATGGGTGTCTTTTTCCAATCAACCATTTAAAAAATTTTCTTTACAAACAGATGTATATCTACTTCCTGTCCACCATAGCACGAAACCTTGATAAAAATCTCAACATTATTACCAAACGCCTTACCTTTGGGTAATGGGAATAACAGGGCGCAATAAAGATAAAGCCAACGACCAGATAAGGGTGCCATCCTGCTTCTCTGAAACACTGTATATTTGATATTGAAATAATATCAAGTCTGGCAAGCTTCTGTTGTTTCTACTCAGATGTGCTCATTCTGGACATTTTGATAAAAACTCTGATCCGAAGCAGAGTTCTATATTGATAGTCGGCTATGCAGTGATGCAACTGAAACTAGTCGACTTTATCTGTCAAATCTTATCCGCTGGATGTTACGAGATAAACCGATTTATGTATATACATGCTACATTTTCTGATTAGCTAGGGATATTTTAAGGACACTGTGCGGGTTTCTCGCGTATTTTAATCAAGCAAATTCTTTTCAAATGACAAATGTATGTCCGTGTTGAAAAGATTGGCACGTAGTTCGGCATTGCTTTCTATTACCGGTATCCTTGGCAGCCAACGCGCGCAACACAATATTTATCAGCGTTATCACGTTATTATCAAATTTAAAACTTTCATCTTTCAGCATAAATGATAGTGACTCAAAGTTCTAGATGAATTTTGGGGAAATTTTAATTCAATTGTTTATTTTTCTTTTAAAGCCCTCCGATGGCGTTAGATCATATTTTACAAATTAAACAATTTTTGCTAAAACGTAAAGATTCATCCCTCCAAAACCGACGATGATCTTTAAAGTCTGTTTACTGTTCTGTAAGATTAGATTTAGGCAGCTCCCGAGAGGGACCGGGGGGGGGGGGGGGGGGGGGGGTCGAAATATGTTGTTGTGATTTTTTGCTTTGCTTTGCTGTCATCAAATGAAAAATATCAATGCAAACCGCACCTGGGGCATAGCTTACGATACAACACAATCTGTGTTCCACCTCTCCTAGGCCAAAGTGAGGTTTTTTTCTGTCACCATTGTCAAGGGCACAGCAAGTCTCGTAACCCCTCCCCCCCCCCCCC